GTGAGGAGAGTGTTTTATTACCTGGGCCGGAAGGGGAAAACGGTGGCGCTTGTTTCAGACTCGGCTAAAATCCCCCTTGCACTTCTGAGATGTAAAACTGATGCTGCTTCATCAGCCTATCTTTCTTTAGTGACCGTTACATTATGTATTAGGGTATTTTTGTTTGTCACAGCCTTAGAAAGGGAAAAATAGAAAACCCCTAAAGTCTAAAATTGAACCTTATACAAGAACCCTGACCTAAGACCCCAGTTTAGACTGTTGTCGCCCTAAAACATAAGAGCTAAAAGAAAAGATCTGGCAGTTTTCATCTTTGCACTAAGTCTGACCAAACCCTGAGAGAGAAATTCAGCTTGAATCTTTTGGGGCCTGTCAAGCTCGGTCATAAATATCCGGCTCTACATCACAGCCTGTGTCAGCTACTGAGCAGTGAGTTGGATTATATTAAACTCTGCTACTGGAAAATATTCAGTACAGCTTTGACTGAAGAGGTGAGAAGTGCAGTGACTGGTTTTCTACATGTTTGGAAGATCCCTGGTTGTGAACACAGGCTTTCTGTTTCCTTCTGTGATAGCAGAGAGTCTGGATTAATGCTGCTGTTATTGTTGTGTTCAGGCCATATGTTTCCTCATTCTGCTTCTGTAACAAGAGAAGCCAGACACAGCTGCCCAGGAAGGAAGTACACATTGAGATAGGATGATGATCACAATTTGTATTTTTGCAAGGCTGAGCTTCCAAATATATTGTTGGGCACTAAGAGAGTATGTACACGCTACATGCGTGTACATGCATAAAATCTGCCCAGACTTATGTGCATGCATGTGCTTTGGTGTTTGTAAAGGTGTTGCTTTTACAAATTCTGCTGTACTAGTACTGCGCTCTGCCACTTCCTGTCTCTATGCAAAGTGAGCATATATACGAGGACAGATCTCAGGGGTGAGGAGTTCATTTGAGTCTGTCAGCACCCAGTGAGGGGACGGGATGTCGTCCCTCGGCCTCAGAGAGAGGTGGGATTGGTGCATGATTGCGTGTCAGCTGTTTCACTGCATGGGTCGCGTCTTCATGCAGAATCTCATTTATTTGCGATGCAAAAGCAGACAAAGATCAGCCCCTGTGCTGCAGCTGGTAGGTGGAGCGGGAAAGCAAGAGAATGAAAAACAAGCTACAAGCACAAGGGTGAAAGTGATGATAAAGATGAAATTAAGGTTACGTCTTATGTATGCTTAACTCAGAACAGATCACATGTTCTCTGAAGGCATGTGGGAAGGCAGCTGAGTTTGGAAAAGTTGGTGATTTCTGAGCGAATGGCTGCTGTGGGACTGGTGTGCATCACAAATATCTCAGTGGTTTACTCTCACAGAAACTTCCGGCAGCTGCTGGGGAGATAGCAACGAGCTGCTGGATGCTGTGGGCTCTTTGTTAATGGACTTTCTAGGGTGGTATGTTATTGTTAGAAATTGGACAAAAGCACAATGAAGAGTATTGTGCAGGTCATTTAAATACAGACAAATATTTACACATTTAGACAGAGATTACCAGATGCCTCACCTCTGCCTGTGCAACAAGAGCGTCATTGACACCACTGTTTCCTTACTTCATATTAGAGCTGAGTCTATCAGTTGAATAATCAGTTAGTCAAACAAAAGAAAAAAATGCAACTATTTGGATAATTGATTGTTTTTCAAGAAAAAAAAAGCTAAATAATAAGTAGGTATAATCCTCTTAATTGTGAATATCTGATACTTTTCTCTGTTTTATATCATTGTAAACATGAATGTCTTTGGGTTTTGGGCTGTTGGTTTGGCAAAACAAGACATGTGAAGGAGTGACCTTGGGCTCTTTGAAACATGGGTTGGTCATTTTTACTATTTTTTGTCATTTTATAGACTAAATGATTACAGCAGTCACCACAGTAATCGATTATAACTTTAATTGTTAGTTGCTTTTCCTAGTTTGTGTCATATTTGTGACATGAGATTGGTTGTCTGCATAGTCTCTGAAAATGGAATTAATCCCTTGTCTGCCCCTGATTATTGTTCTAATTGAGTATCAAATAAAAATAAGAGACACAGGACTTGTCCCTGTTAATATGGCCAATCTGTAAGACTTCTTGCACCTTCTTCATTGCTCTGATCAGATGGGATTCAGAAGAACATTAATCTGGCTCCTTTTGAATTACCTGGTTTCACTGAACATAACCCCCAGATTATGGGTATTATGAAACTGTTAACTATCTAGACTTGAGTGTATTCATGTGAGCAAGCCAGTCGCGTGATAAACCATCATCAGTACAACAGTATAAATAATTTCTCACCTCAGCACAGCTGGTCAGTCATGGCGTGAAGAAGAAGTGACAGAAATGGTCTGCCACAGCTCTCACTAGTATGACGTCAGAGAGGTGTAAGGGGAGGGGGTTTCTGAATTATTTCCACCGATAGCATACGTGAACTATGACAGTGATCTACCCCATCGAACCCACTAATCTTGCTTCACGATACAGGCCTCAGAACATGAAAGTATATTTAGACCTTAAGTCTGTGACAGCAGAGGTGAGAAAGAGGGACAGATGAGGAAGGATGAGATTATGGTAGACTGGCATGGTCCAGTGCTGTGTTGACTTTAGATGCAGCTCTGGAGACGCAGACAGAGGGTCCAGCCTCCACTCCAGCAGCTATCAGAAAACAGAGGGAGGCCTGAGGCAACCGTTCGGCATTTCTAGAAGCAGCCAGACAGTGTTTCCCATGATGTGTTCCTCCAAAGATATGGAAGCTATTTATATGACAAACAAAGGCCTGGCTGTTGTTATTGTTGAGTAGGACCAGCACATGGATAAAAGAAAAGTTAAGGGAAGTTTTACTTAATTTTACTTTCATTACCTCCACCATGCAGGTTATGGTTTCACCCGTGTCTATTCATTTGCCAGCAGGATTACACAAAAAGGTACTTGGTGGAGGGATGGGTCATGGACCATTAAATGTTAATGCAGATCTGGATCATTTACTAATAATTTCATGAAGTCTGGTGTATGATGTTTGACACTGGCCTTGGCGGAGGTCTGCGCTCGAGCTCTGCCCCTCTGGTTGGTTTGTTTGCTTGTTTGTCAGCAGGATTACGCAAAATGTACTGAACCGATTTTTCTGATTGGGTGTGGATCCGGTTTAAGGAGTGCTTCCAGGAATTTTTCACTTTTTCACAAGATAGCGTTCATCAATTTGTCAGGAAATAATATATGGATCTTGATGTAAAAAATCGGACATATTTATGGTATTGAGATCTGTGAGTTTGTACAGTTTGGTGCAGAATCTGATAATAATCTGGATTTGGTGTAAGAAAATATAAGCTTGTTTGGCCTTGGCCTCGTGCTCTACTAAGTGCAATTCCAGTTGACACTGTATTGTACCAAAAAAAATTACCAGTTAGCGTCTCAAGTCCATAAGCTATCTAGCAACTGAAATTCACTCCCCATTTCAGCGAAGAGGGTTTACAGATGAGTTAGCTTCCCTGTGAAACAGCGAGCCTCTTCAGTGTCTGTTACACAGAAGGTGGCACACACCCCTCCTTTAGGAAATAGTGATCATTTACATTGTTTGTGCAGCTGCACGGAGAGATAATACGAGCAGCAGAGAAGGAGGGATGCTGTATAACTGGCAGTGAATAGACATTGATAATAAATGATGACATATAAAGGTTTATAATTTCCCAACTTGTAAAATGTTGTCATTAGCCTGCTAGCTCCTGCAGCTCATGCTTGCAACCATGCCATCACTATTTCATCACTATTTTTCCCACCTGCTTTTCTCCACACTGTGTCTTTGTAAATTTTTCACCTGTCCAGTTCTGGTCTGACACACCTTATGACCTGCCTTACAGGTGAAAATGGGTTATTATATCCTCTGCAATCACAGCAACTTATAGAAGATGGACTGGATTTTTATCTGCAAACAGAAAGGAAACAGACTGGTTTTATAACCACATGTTGCTTTCATTTACTCTCTCTCTCTCTTGCAGTACAGTTCAGAGAGAGAAACCGACTTCATGTATGTGTGTGGGATAAATAATCGATACGCTGATATCTTCACTTAAACTATGTAGATCCTTATTGCCCCCACAGGGCAGTTTTTTGGCAGCATTTAAAACGATACACCGCAAGAAAACATCTTATAAAATAGTATGAAGCAGCTTACAAGCATGAAAGGAATAAGGAGGAAAGAGAAAACAACACAGGCATATTAATAGCTACAAATGCTCAGAGGAGAAAAGGGCCTTGTTGACATATGCACACACTGTACAAACTTTTAACCCTGGGCATCCAGTATCTAATTTTAGAGCATAGTTTAATGCAATGTGTGCTCTAGTGAAATGTTTTCGATAAACTGGGACTTGTTAACTCTATAACTGCTCTGCTTTCTAATGGTTCAGCATTTTGGCAGTTTGTCTGTTTGATATTCTTCTCTCTTCAGTGAACTCCATGATGCAGTTAAAAAATACAGTGTGTGATTCATCAATTGCACTAGACTTCAGTTGATACTGGATAATGTTGAATGTTCCCGTCATATACGATATTTTTCACAATATCGAAAAATATTGGTTTTGGTTTGGTTTTTGGTTTCAGTTTACTTTTATAGAAGACTAATGTAAATATAGATATTCACATTTTAGTCGAAGGAACCAGTGATGTTCTTTTCATCCTGAAATAATCAATTATCAAAATGAGACAATACTTTCATGTTTATCAGCCGATGGATTCAGCAGTTAATCACACAGTCGTTATTGTCATTTTTCATGTCGTTTTTTAAATTAATTATTAGATACTTTTGAGTTTCTTGCTTTTGTTTGCAAACCTGTTACACGGTTCATAAACAACCTCAGCAGCTGTGGTTAAAACGTTGCTGCATGTTCCTGGTGGGTTCTTTCTTCGTTTCCTTCTCTTTTGTTTTTTAATACTTCTGCTGTGTGCTCTCTCTGTGTTTTTACCACAGACCCTAAAGCATACAGAGACCAGACCAGACCAGACCAGGTTGAGCCCAGTTACGGACTCCCTCCCTCTCCCCCTCCCCACCCAGCCTAGCAGGCTGCATCCACCAGCACTCTGCGATCGTCTCCCTCAGCAGTAATTTATTGTGCTGATCAGACAACCTCACACCACTGGGACCGGACAGGAGACCCAGAGGTTCCCCCCGCTGGAGCTTTAAGCTGTGCCTGGCAATGCCTCAGGTAAGAGGGACAACAGATGGAGGGAAACTGAACCGTCACTGCCACACAGGGAGACAGGTTTCCTCCTACACATTTGGAGACTGGAAATTTGATGATTTCCAGCTGAATACTCGCAGAATCAATGAAAAACCATAAAGTGGTGAAACCCTAACAGATAAAGATGTGGACTTTTAATTTTACAGCTACGGGAATTATATTTTATAAAATCTGCAAATCCGCTGAACAAAGAGAAAACAAAGAAGCTTCTCAGTCACCAGACACAGACAGACGGTGTCACAGAAACACAGTTCAGATGTGTTGAGGGAGGCGAGTGAGTGACCCTGGTCCAGTGTAACGTCTGTGGACGCTGCATCCGAACAGCTGCTGGGGGCAGATGAGCTAACAGGGAGTGAGACAGTGAATGGAAATGTGAACTCTGGATCTTTATAAAAATATGTATAAAGTGATGGAATATTTACAGTGTAAACATAATTTTGTATTCAGGTTTTTTTTTCTCTGCGGTGCCGATTTAATCCTGAATCTTTGCCCTCCAGTGTTTTTCTTTTCCAAATAATTCTGCTTTTCTTTCTCATGTCCTCATCCTTTATCACATTGTCATTCATATTAGATACTACTTCTGGTGACATATTGCTCAGCAATGGTGTCTTAGTTAGTTATGATTGCACCTTTTTTGTACTGACTCCTTTAGCTACCGTGTCATATAGTTTTAATGAATGTTAGTGTGATCGGCTCCTGTCCTCTCACCATCTTTGCAAAATCTTACTGCAGTGGCGGCCTTGTGGCCTGCAACATAACTTTTTATCACTCCAGTGCTTTAAAAATTTATTAACAATAACCTGCTTCAGTCAAAGCAGACATGAGCTTTATCTGACTGCAATCTGGCACAATGTCGCCATTGCATAGTTTGTCCACCAGAGAGCAGTGATAGGTCTTTTTTTTTGGTTGTTTTTTTAGCTGTAAAACATCCCGACCAGTTTGTATCTTAATTTAAAGGATCTGTATCAAGATTACTTGTTTATATTATTATATTATTCGTTTATATGGATATATTGGATATATTAAACCCACAAATATTGGTTCCATTATAAGTCAGGATTCATTTCATACAAAAATAATGAATACAATACTGAGCTAGAGGGGCACAGAAGAGATAGGAGAAAGGCAAAGAAAGAATTTGTTTTATCAGATTTTGCTTTTGGTGGTGGTGATGTTTATTATATTTTTTTAAATTGTCTTTTCTTCCTGTTGTGCTGTAGCCCAGCGTCAGTGGGATGGAGCCTCCCTTTGGGGACGCCTTTCAGAACTACTCATTTGCTGACCAGGCCCTGACCAGCACTGAGCTGCTTGCCACCAGCTCTGACCCAGATTTCATGTACGAATTGGTGAGTGGCTACACACACACACACACACACACACACACACACACACACATACACACACAGACACCTCACAGGCAGGCATCAGGCCTTGTTAACCATCCTTTGAGCCTGACTTCTTTTAAAAATCAGTCACAGCTGCTCTTGCGACGCTGTCACTGAGTTACATCTGAACAGTAGATTCAGGTTTAGTGATCAACAAACAAAATTCAGTTTCCTCATCCATGACATATTTAATAGTGTATTCAAATGCAACTTAGTTTTTTTGCCCTATTATTGTGGTGGAAACATAAATAAATAGGAAATTTTGACTCTTGTTAAGTGCTAATATTCGTGTCTTATAGGGTTTTATATACACTGACTGGAACAAAAAACATTAATCTAAGCATACTTATGTTTGTTACCCATTTAAGTAGCATCTGTCTGTTCTCCGGGCTGAACTGCAGGTGGTTTAAACTCAGATTTTGTTTTTATTTGAGCGCTGAACCAAAAAAAGAACAAATCTCTGCAATCTCCACCCAAGCATCTAACAAAATGTCTGTAGTTTGTAGTTTCGCTTCCTGTTCACTGTCGGATATCAGCCTTATTTTACTGTTTACTGATCACTGTCAGTCTCTGCTGATGCTAACTGAACAATTCCTGCTGCTGCCACTTCACATTAAAAGCTTTTGCCTGGCAAACAGCGATAGCCTTTTATTGTGAAGCGTCAGTGTTATAGATTGCTGGGTGGAATAGTGCTAACAGAAACAGTCACAGATCAATGAAGAGCTGCAGCTGACAGACTCTTAATTCAGCAGACCCCCAGTGTGTCATCAAGGTAAACAACGCGCTTGACCTTCCATTATGTGCAGAGGAAAAACACTTGAGTGGTCATAGTTGCTCACGGCTCAGCTCAGCATGAGTAAAAAAAATAGGTTACATGGTACACAGCACACAAGCTCCCAACAAACACCAGAGAGAATGCTCATTTAAAAGAACCGTGGCACTGAGATATTTTTGTTTTGCTCATTTTTTAACTTATTAAAATTCAAATAAATAGAGGGCCACAAACACAAAACAAATATCGCCGTCAAAAGTTTTACATAACTTTGCAACATTTAAAATTGAACAAAATTTTTGTGATTTTTCTTATTTAATTAAACAGGAAAGACGTTAACATTAAATTCACTCCTTGGCGCTGTTCAGACACAAGAGATCACTTGGACGCGTGTGGAGAGGCAGTTAAATGCCAGGTGTGAACTGACGTACTTACACTTGTAGTCGGATCACCCAAGATGCATGTCGACGCCAGGTGTGAACAGGACCTTATATACGTCAGTAAAGTAGAGCCTCAAGACACTTTTACATGTTTCATATCAATATTTCCAAACATGTGCTTGATAAAGATTGTGCTTGAAGAAAGCTTTTGATTCCTCAAACTTTTACAGTGGTTTTCAGTCTAGTAGGACTGATAGTGAGAAATGTATGAATTTAAATTACATTGAAAAACTGAATAGACATTTGCCTGAGGTCAGCTAAGCTGCCTGCGTGGCATTTAAAACAGAGATCTGTGTCTAATTGTTTAGCAGCCGTGTGACATTTGTCAGGCTCACAGGCGTGTGATGTGAGGCAGCTTTAAACAGACAGCTCACCTGTCACCACTGTTGCTGTCAGCTGCAGGTGTCCACCTCAATTTACTGCCTGCTGTAGACTAAACAGAAGTGATTCACTGCCACTGCCAAGTCTTGCACCATAGTAACACATTAATGTGGAGGATGACTTGTCATCTTCAGTGCCATCTTCATCTTTCAGCTTGGACAGATATGGGTTAACTTAACGGCTTCTTTTACGGTTTTGTAAAAATAAAACAATTTCTGCAGTATTTTGTTATGATCGACTCCACCTGTCAGACTTACAGGTTTCTTAAAATTAGATGCAACCGGTTTTCAAGTTTTCATTCATCCCATGTGCAATGTAAATGCTCCCAGTTTGATTGATTGATTCTCAGTTTGATTCCTCACACAGCTCAGTATTTTATTTTGTGTTGTCATACACCCTTTATTCTTCTCTAAATTGTGTGCATAATACCAGCTCTTTCAGTGTCTTCAGTTGTGTTTTTTTTCTGCCTGCTGCAAAAAGAATTTCCTCTGGTAGGGGAAATAAAAATCTCAACTGCAATCAAAGCCTTCAGCATTATTTAAACAGACTGAGATGACCAGGACAACTTGACTCCACAGTGCGCTGAAGTGGCCAAGAGATGTGTTGTTGTTTTTATTGTGCTGTTATCTTTGGCTGCAGCTAGGAGCGAGCTATATGAATAAAATCCTCTGTCAATCTGTCGATTCTGATGCAGTGTAGTTCCTCGAATCAGTTGGGAAACTGTTTATAGCTCGATAACCAGATGGGAATGATGTTTTTGGCTTATCCAGCAAATTGAAAACCTGATAAGTTAATATACTTCATCAAAGTCATGCACAAATCATACAAAAATCCAATTTTCCAATTATAACCCAGTAACCTCTGATTAGTATATTGTATTTTGTCATATTTCCAACCCTAGCTGCCACTTTCTTTTCATGCACTGTTGTATTTGTGACAGATAAAAGATAAAAGTCAGGTTGTTCATAACAGTTTATTTCCTGGACTGTTCAGTCCTGATGTCCTTTTGATGGCTGCTCAAATTGCACAATTTTTAAATGAACTTTTATCTTTCATGGGAAAGAAACTTGATTTCTAAGCAGATTTATAGACATTAATTTTCAGTGGACGTCAGAGTAAGTCACACTGAATCTATGGTTGCAATAATCATTGATTGGTTTGTGATATTAAATGTTTTTGTACAAGTTCACAAAGTTCTCCTAATACGACAAAATCTAAACTAAATAGAATTTAAAATAGACCATCTTCAACCCACCACCTGCTTGACTCACCTCCATCTTTTCTTCGTTTCTGCAGGACAGAGACATGACCCACCGGCAGAGCCCCTGTGGGGACAGCGTGGTGGGGGTCGGGGACGGAGGAAAGGAGGTGGAGGGCTGTGTGGATCAGCTCATGGGTTTAGGCGAGTGTGAGACAGTCTACAGCAGCTCAGCGTTTGAACAGTGGGACACCTACTGGGAAGACCTCACCAGGTACTGGATTATTTATTTATGTGCTGTATTTTATTTTTAGATCAAGTTAAAAAAAAAAGAAACAGCAGCAAGTTAATGAGACATGAAAACATACTGATGAATTTAATGAAACTCAGATGGCATACTTGTTTTTTGGTTCTTAAGTGGCAGAAAATTGCATTCCCTGAGAAAGAAACAATTACTGAGTTGCTTAGAATACACACGTGGTAAGTACCACGTTGTAAAGCTTGCACTATTTAAAGTATCCTCTCAATGGTTTGTCTGGCAAAATTCAATATTATTCTCAGTGCCATCAAGTCCTATGAAAGAGTTAGTATTGACTGTGTATCCAAAGCTCAGGACTTCAGGTTCCCTTGTCCGGAAGCCAATGGCTTTTTGAATGTGTTTTTGGTTTTTGTGGGGTTTTTTTTGTTGCTTGAAATAAGGTCTGTGGTCGACACGGGCTCAAGACATTTTCATGTTTCATTCTACAACATAAAATATGTCAGTAAATACTACTCCTGCGGTGTTGCTAACAAGTGGCTAACTGAGACTACAGAGGTTGTCGGGGACATTAAACATCATCACGCTGAAGATAAAAACTGATCTACTCACCAGTCGCCCTTTACAGCCTCATTGTGTTTATACTTGTGCTCTTGTTAACTATTATTAACTTTCTAAGAGGAGAGGCTTTTGTGGAAGAGGTAAGCGCTCAATCAAATTACAAGTTGGAAGGTTACCGTTGGTGACGTTGAAGTCATGCGACCATGGTTTAGTTCGTTTATAGCCTAGCACTAGTTAGCTTTAGTTGAGAGAACCAGGCTGATTCTAACTTCCTCTAGCTGAACTGGGTCTTCTGGAAAACAACAGCTTGTGATTTGGGAGTATTGCTGTGGTAGTTTAGAAGACATTTAAAATCTTTTCTACTCCAGAAAAAAAATGCAATAATCAAATTCCCAGCCATGGCGCATACGGTCAGCAGTTTGCCATTTATAGGTTTATATGAAACGGATATGAAATCATTTGTTTTTCTGCAAACAGGTGAGAAGATAGTTTGTGAACGTTTTGAGATTGAACAGGAGCCTGAAGGTTTTTTTTTACCGTCACTGACTGGTAATTGTCACGGCTGCTCATCTTGGTCCGACACTGGATGATTTGGAGCAGGTAGTGGTTTTGCTCGGAGGCAGGGAGAGGTTTAAAGGGCCAGTGAACCTAGCAGCGCTCTGCCACAGATTCCTGGGATCTCAGGTGATGCTCTGCCTGTCTTACAGCTATCCTGCCAGGATTGTGTGTGTATTCTCTTCTTTGATGTTGAGTGTCAGCTGAGGGCAGACAACAGTCTCTGAAATCTAAAGGCCATTAAAGCTGAGGTGGAATAGTGCAGGCGGAGGTGGGGTTGGGGGAATCTGCCACTGACGGGGTTGATTGAGGTCATATTTGAGTGGAACAGAGGAAAGTACTGCATCTTTCGGCTAATGAGTTAGTCATTCTTTTACAACCTCAACTGTCCAGACTAGTCCCATGCTGCTATTTAGTAGCTCTGATGCGTTATGGAAAGTGTTTCTGGATTGCCATAAAGAGATTAAATCAGACAGTGTCTGTGTGGGTGTGAAAACTATAACTACCAGATGTAGAGCTAAGACAGACTCTGAGCTCTCTGTTTGCCCTTGGGATGTATTTGTTTCTTGTGGTATGAAGAGGTTTAATGGCCTTCTCTTGTTACAAAAGTTGAAAACCATAAACTGAACACAAAGCGAAACATTACTGGTGAAAAAACAGACAGGTGACAACAGGTGCAAATTTGTTCTAGGAGGTGTGAACTGAGGCACAGCTGCATCATTCAGATGACAAATGACAACTTGAAAAAATTGCATTCACCTGAAACTCTGTGAACTTGAACGTACAGAGAAAGATGGAAGATAGAATTTAAATTGACAGCATTAACATAGTTTTAGCTAGCTACAGCAAGCTAACATGCTAAATGCATGACACTGATGAAAACTGAAACACTCACTGTTTGTTGCTGGTGAACACAGAACACAAAAAAATCCAAAGTACTGTAATAAATTAAGCTTCATGTTCACGAGTGAATTCACAATAAAGCTATTTTTGAATCAAGTTGTATTGGTGTTGAATGTTACATGACCAGTGCTGTCATGTGACCTGTTGGCATTGCTGATCCAAATGGCAGCTGCCTTTGGAGAAAAGCATTACCAGGCCTAACTTTAAGTCTCTGTTTGGCTAACTCTGCCGAAGTATGTTTACACCTCGGCTCTGAGAGTAGAGTCCAAGATAAAATCTTTAAATGTCTTATTTTGTCCAAGAATATTCATTTTAAAATGATATAAAACAGAGAAAATCAGCAATTTTCTGCAAGAAATTATTTTTGGGAATTTCAAACAGGCAAAAGAAAGTAGAGAAAAATATTCAGTCATATCAATAAGTGCCCTGCAGATATTCAGAAGATGAAACAAGGCTGCATATTTACAAGAAAAGGACAAATTTGTTTCCATCAGCTATGATCACACTTAATTAAAATGTCAATAGCAAACTTTTTTGTAACATTGAAGCTTTTTCACATACAATTACTAGATAATGAAAGCTTTCACTGTATATCGACCTCCATGTCTCTGTGCTTACAGATACACACGGCTGGCCAGCTGTGACATCTGGGGCACCAAAGAGGTGGATTTCCTTGGATTGGATGACTTCTCTAGTCCCTACCAGGATGAGGAAGTGATTAGTCGAACCCCGACACTGGCTCAACTCAACAGTGAGGATTCACAGCCTGTGTGTGAGGCGCTCTACCCCCCTGCTGACCTGACCCTGCCTGCCCCCCAGCCTCAGCCTCAGTCCTCCCAGTTTCCCTGTCACAGTAAGAGACCCCTGGTCCCCGGCCAAGGATTTGGCCCCGGCTCTGCACGGCCTTCCCCGAGCTCCACGTCCTCATCTCGTCCATCCCACAGTCTTCTCCCAGACTTCCCTGAAAGCTCCCAAAAAGCCACCAGGCCTGTCCCCTCCAGCACTGAGACTATGGCTAAGACCCAGAACCACCTCAGTCTCACCCAGGACCATGGCCAAGCTCAAAGCAAGTCCCAGGGGCGAGGAACCAAGATGGTAGCCCCAACTTCCCATGGCTCTGACTTTGTGCGGAAGGCTAAAGTCCGTGTGAGTGCTGTGCATAAAGCTCAACCCGACATACCCTCCCAGACAGATTTTGAGAGGCCAGATCCACCTCTACCTCTCTCCCAGCCCCAAGATGAAAAGGCTTCCACTTCAGCTAGCGCCACCTTGGTGGGACTTCCTGGCGCTGCTGCCAGTGGCTCCGGCAGCCTGACGAGCTTTGAGAGGAGGGCCGAGGGGACGGGGAGGAGAGAGATGCCTATAGGCTGGCCGTCTGCCACCGTGCCTCAACTAGTGGAGGCGAGCCAAGCCCTGGAGGGCAGCACCTCTGGGCTGGTGAACAGCGGCGATAGTGTGGCAGGGGCAAGCGGTGGCGTTCTGGTTGTTGAGGGCACGGAGAAGAGCAAGGAGGAGGAACACAACTACTCTCTGTTCCTGACCCGCAGCAGACTGGCCAGCAGAGCCCACTCCCAGCTGGAGGAGGATGAGGAAGAGGAGGACGAGGAAGAGGTGGAGGAGGAGGAAGGCGACGGACTGGAGCTAGATGACGAAGACCACGATGAGGGTTTTGGCAGCGAGCACGAGTTGTCTGAGAATGAGGAGGAGGAAGAAGAGGAGGAGGATGAAGACTACGAAGCAGACAAGGATGATGACATGAGCGACGCCTTCTCTGAGCCAGGTACTCATCATTGTAGCGCCTCTAACTTAATTATTACCTTCCTCTCTTACTCTGTTTCCCCTTAATTTCCTTCTTTTTATCTTTGTGTTGCTTTAATTTCATCCCTCTTCTCCTGCGTCTCTTTCTCACACATTCACCAGGCTGTGACATGGAGCTGATGGAGGATATTAAAGGCCTGACAGCAGGAGTCTCCAGCCGGAAGAGAGGCAAGCGCCGCTACTTCTGGGAGTACAGCGAGCAGCTCACCCCCTCTAAACAGGAACGTATGCTTAAGCCGTCTGAGTGGGACAGACACACGCTGCCTAGCAACCTGTACCAGAAGAACGGGCCTCTCCATGGTATACATAAAGACATAAACACGCACGCACGCACGCACGCACATACACATATAACACACGTACAAATACACAAAATCCACAGGCAGGATATGTCTTGCTTTAAGACTTGCCAGTGATGGCTGCTCAAAAGCTTTGTGACAATCTTCAAAGGAAAAGAAGCTCGACCTCGGCATGAAAATTCATCCATCACTTCAGTCACATTTGCCTTTTAGTGGAGACGCTAGTGTAAGCACAGAATCTTTCAGCAGGACAGTCATGGTTTGGATTTTCCACAACAGCAGCATGTTTCAGTGATATTCCAGTTTAAGTGAACACATTGGAAATATGACATAAATAAAAGGAGCGTATCTCATTTCTCACACAAAAGGCACAAGCCTGCACCTTTTTAAAAAAGCAATGGAAATGAAAAGCACATGAGCCATTTCTTCAGGCAGGAAAGCATTTTTCTCGCATTCATGTCCATGTTTATTTAATCCTTTTGTGTGAGTATGAATTTTGTTTGAGGATGTAGAGGATGACTCATGTTTGCATTTTCACTTATTAACAGTTTTGAACATGAAAAAAAGCACTTAAAGCTTGTGGCATTTTACAATTCAATCATAACTAGGGAGCTGTGTTCCAACACACAGTGATTATTCACTTTATTACTGAGCCCAGGCCTGTTAGAGATCCAGCCCAGGACAGGTGTCATCGACCATGACTAAACGTAAAATGTTTAAAATGTGTTTGCTGCTGACTGCTGTGAGAAAAAGGTGTAAATCCTCTGAAAAATGTTCAGTAAACAGCGAAAGACTGAAGAATTAACATAATGTGGAAAATTCAAACGGAGTCTCCACTGAGGGGAAAAAATAAGAGGTCTTTCAGCTGATAGAAGTTCAAGCAAGTGTTTCATGATCCATTTATTATTCAGATCACAGATTATTTAGCATACGTTAAGAAAATGGCGACAACACCCGCAGCTGCCTATTTGTTTGATTTAGACTGAGTGGGAATTATAGACGGCAGAGAACGAGATGAGAGTTGATTCCCCAACTTTTTGCAGTGCCAGTGCTCCGCACAGAGCTGTAGATGAGGAGACATTGCTGAGACATTAGATTACATGTGAGCGTGTTCTCTGACGCCTTCTTTTCATCACTTGTCATGAAGGAAAGTACATGCTGAAGAAGTCACGTCGCACGGATGTGGAGGATCTGACTCCCAATCCGCGCAAGCTGCTTCAGATCGGCACCGAGCTCCGCAAACTGAACAAGGTGATCAGCGACTTGACACCGGTCAGCGAGCTGCCGCTGACCGCACGACCCCGGTCCCGCAAGGAGAAGAACAAGCTGGCGTCCAGGTAAAACATGCACGCATACAGTAGTATAGTAGTTTCATCTCTTAGACGTGAGTGTAGTTTACAGGAGTTGTAGTCGAGATGCTGATTTGACAGCAGTATATCATGTTTCTCCCACCATCTGTTGTGTTGTGTAGAGCTTGTCGTTTAAAAAAGAAGGCCCAGTATGAAGCAAACAAGGTGAAGCTCTGGGGACTCAGCACAGAGTACGGTACGTTGCTACGTACCTTTCAGTTTTTATACCAAGTTCATCAACCTCTGCATCCATTTTTTTCATGCCTTGTTACTAGATCTCTTATCAAATTTATTTAATTTCTTCAAATTACATTTCTGTTTCCTCTAGACCTATTAGTAATAATGAAGATTATAATATTTTACCCACCTGTATCTATTTACATTTGAATTTTTATCTTCTGTTCATTAAAAATAAAAAAGCTTGTATTCTTGTCACCTACAAATAACGAATAAAATCCCTAACCTGAGGACGAATGCGTTTTGAATCAGTGTTTTGTGTTCACGCTTCTGATTGTGTAATCTGTGCTCTGACACGTGTCTTCCTGTAGATCGGCTGCTGTTTGTGATCAATGCCATCAAGGAGGAGATCGTGGTGCGAGTTGAGGACTCTTCTCCGCGTCCAACCAACATGACTGACACTCTGGAGCGGCTCATCCAGGAAACACTTGGTGAGAAATGGCGACCACTGAGCCAATTAAAGCTTGTGAAGGATGATTGAAAATGTCCTTGAAATTACGATTAATTTAAACAACTAGTTCATGTACTTCTGCTTATCATTGAGCCGATTGAAATGGAAACACTGGAAAGTTCGCAGCTTTTTATTTGAAAACTCAAAGAATAATGAACAAATAATACAATTTATCCACAACTTTATGGCGGTAAATAGAAGTTCCATAGCCAATTGTTTGACTGTTTGGGAAACTTTAAAATGTTTTCTTAGACAAGAGTCAATACATAAAAATAAAATTAGTAGCTTACAGAAAAGAAAAACACTTTTAGAGTAAAAAGAGCTAGTGCAGAAATTAAATTATTGCAACACTCTGTGTCACATATATTTGATGATAAAAGATGGGGTGAAGTAGATATGATATAATTCAAAGTAAATAAACAGGGCAAAATGAAACTTTTATGAAAGAAACTGGTAAGTTATTTGCTCCAGGATTAAAAAGAAAACATAAAATACTGCAGCTAATATCAAGGCGGCTCAGTGTGAACAGGCAGGATAATGACAATAATAAAGAATATTTTCTGCTGCTGTGTAAGAAACATTCTCATCATATTTGAGAAAATTAAGTTGCATAAATGAGGCGCTTTTTTAATTTCTAAAATGTCTGAATGTATCTGTATGTGTCTCTGTGTGCAGTGGCATCACCAGTTGCCGGGCAGACATCCGACTTTGTCAACAAGATCTTGGAGAACACAGGACGCGGCGATCCCACCGGTGGACTGGTCGGCCTGCGAGTCCCCACCTCCAAAATCTAGACAAACCGCGGTCCACTGAGAGGAGTGGACTAAACATTACCACCGTGCTGTCCCATTGTAACTATGCTCCCCTCTGCATGCCCCTCCAACCCCGAGCACATACACATTGTTAGTCACACAAACACACATACCACTCCCTGTGTGTATGTATGTGTGCTTGTTTATAGCCATGCACCTGTAGGGCATACACCCTAGCTTCCTGTCTCTGCACAGTGTGCAGAGACAGTGCGTCACTGTCTCCCAACCCATCGTGAGCATCTGTTGGGAAATGCGCCTCTAAAAGCAAGTGATGGTTAGGTGTATAGATAATAGCACGTCCTAAATCCAATGGTGATTTTTAGAAATGTTTAACATAGTATTGTGTTGGGTCAGTTCGGTTGGAGGTCTGCTTCCTGGGCTGAGACAGAGACAGTCACACGAGTGCAACCACTGGAATACTTTCACACAATTTGTTTGAGGTTGTGATGACAGAGGAAGAACTGTTACACGTCGGACACCATCAGAGGTTCCAGTTATCATTTCCTAGAAGAGATTCACCTCACATGGCAACAAAAGATTAACTCCAGGATGTTAAATTGACCCGCTGAGTAAAGCACTTCGATGGAAACGACTTTGTTTGCCAAGACAGCTGCGGAGAGAAAAAAAAAAGCAGCGTTCTCCGAGGCGTTATGGGGTGGCAGGAAATATTTTGTATTGAAGGCCTAAATATATTCATGCCATCCCCCGTTTGCCAATCAGCTCTGCTATTCTTAAAATGTAGGAGTTAACAAAAAGCAAATTAATGCTCTAAACATAAAAGCAGTAGAAGCTGAAAGTTAAGATTTCAAAGATCCTGCTGGGTTGAAGTTTGTGGCAGGCAGGACGAAGCTTAATGGCTGATTTTGACAACGTTGACTTATACAACAGGAGGTAGTTGACCATGTGGAGAGGAAGCGCGTGTGGTTTGGTGCTTTTTGGCCTTGTGCTGGATATAACTGGACTGGGTGAAACAGGCACTTTGCCAGTTTGGGAGCAGACTGTGAGGAAGATTATGGTGGTGATGAAGAAAACACGAACAGTGATCCATCTCCTCTAGGAATCTGTACATAGAAGTGTCTCCCAGTGAAAAACGGCACCGGCTCCCCTTTTTGTACAGTAGAGATGACCAGGCTAACAGTTTGGTGTGTTCATACTAGTGTTTGATCAGAGTTCTATTCATTGTGCCTTGTTTATGTATGTGTGTGTTTCTGTAAGTCTGAGTGAGTGTGTGTGTGTGTGTGTGTGTGTGTGGGAGAGGGACAGATAGAATTTTGTCGATTGGTCAGAACTCCCTGAGGTCCAGCCAAGGAGAGGACTACTTTACACTGAGGGAGATTGCTAGTGAATGCGAGGTGGGAGACACCTGTTGGGTTTGTGGTGTATTTCAGTCGTTTAAAGATATTCTGAATGTACATAAAACAAATGGAAGCTCTCGTTGCGTGATGCCACAGAGTCTGTGTATATAGGAGGGCTCTGCAATAGATTACTTATGGTTTTTGGTACTCTGTCTTTGGGGATCAGGGGAGGGTTACCTGATATTTTCGTTTAGAGTTACAAAAGATATTTGCACACTATATTTTGATTGTTTTTTGTACCAAAGACACATGCAACGAAACGGCGACCAGCCAGTTAAAGTAAGGTTTTGCACAGCTTACCTGACGCCGTATTGAATGTAAGAAATGTGGGAGGGTCAGGGAACTTCATAGAACTGTGAAATTAGCTTGGGTCCAATTCTGTACAGAAAAGGAACATTCATTCATTCTTTTTCTTTTTTTTTTTTAAATCTAAAATTTTACCCCATCTGTGGGCTTCTCCAGTAAATTTGTTGCTTAGGAAGCACTTCATTCCTGAACTGATTCCTCTCTCCACATGCTAATTGTGTTAATGGCTCTATCTAGGACAAAAACCAAGAGCACTAGTAGATAAGCTATGTTACATTATTGCTTGTTTGTCAAAATGTCACCAACAATAACCAAAATGTTATGTTCCTGTATCACTTGTTTGATTTCTGTATGTAGAAGAGGTGTAGTTCATCATCAAAATATTAACTGAATTGTGTTTTAAAGTACTGTATATAGAAACATTAATGATATATCTATCAATGGTGAAATGCCACTTTTCATGACAATTGATTAATTTTTAAGCATGACACATTTCTAAAGCCTATCCTTGCATCGAGAAAAGTAGAGCAAAACCAGAAAAACCAAAAAAAAAAAAAAAAAAAAAAGTTCTTGTTATATTTTTGTATTTTAGCTGCCTGCTAGCTTTCCTGTTGGTTTTCATCGGCCAGATTCTCCAGGTGGAGAGAAGGAGATGTGGAGGAAGGGAGGAGAAAGATCTTAAAAATGCAGCCAGTGAATCTGATAGTTTAAAGTGACACTTGACCCCTTCGGTCTCCTTTGCTGGCTGAGTGAAATATGGAGAATCAGGATTGGATTTATTTAAAACACAATGCAGCAAAGCCATGGTCTAGTTTGAGGTCTAGTCTATAAAGAGAATGAGGACAGGCTGTCTTTAGCGCAGACAGGGACATGTCCAGTAAAGCAAGAAACTCAGAGGACAACAGTGGGGAGATGAGGAACCATAGACGCTGTAAGAAAGCCAAAGCCATTTGAATCTGTCCCAGACTGATCTGGATTCAGCACTGTGTGCTGTCATTCAGATTTTCACATATATTCCCTTTTTAACCGTGAAGCTGGTTGAATTTTTTATTTCCAGGGATTGGCGTTGCTTTCTCTGAGGTTGAAACTGCTGAATTTTATCTGCCTGGCCTCGCCTTTGGTCCTCAGCATAAGTTTGTTCACCAAAACACAGAGTTACAAATTGGCAGCGTGTCCAACCTTTAACAATGCATGATGCTTGTATGCTTCCCTCCCCGCTGCCTGCTCCGAAGAAACACTGCCATCCCCCGAAATTTTAAAAATTCAGCCAGAAGTCACTGGGTTAGTAAGGAAATATAACGAGAAATAAGAGTTTGACGAGGCTGAATTCAGGTTTGAGTGAAGTGAAGAACGTGTTCCTTCACAGAATGATGTCTGATGGTGATGCAGAGCTGTGGTCTTTCTGTATCGTGTGACTGAATAACAGCTAGTGCTACATATACATATATATATACATATATATACACATATATATATATATATATTTTTATTGTTTTCTGTTTCGTCTAAAAAGGGAGAAATGGTGCTTTTTCTGAAACTAGAACGATGAGTATCCATGATTCTTATTTCACTTCTTAGTCCAGTTGTAGCCTAATGACTTGCTCTCCCCTACCGTCCATAGCTATTTTCTTAGTAGTGATTAATTTTTGTATATAGACTATGAGTTAATATGTATCTTCTAAATGTTAGATATATGTATAGAATACTATATCTTATATGTTTGAAAACAAAAGCACTTTGTCCAAAAAAGGAAAAAAAAAACAAAAAGAAAAGCATTTTTTTCTTCCATTTGCTGCTAAAAGGCCTGGTGTGAATGCTGCAAGTGTACTTGATGACTACTTGCTAGGATAGGTCTATTACCTGACTTGGCTGGGTCTAAAAACTAGCAAGAAAAACGTGTATAGGTGTGTGGCCTGATGAGGGTTAGATCTAAATGTTTCCGGAGCCATGTAATGATATGAGGTATTGTATAAGAGCGTATCATTGCTAGGCTTTGAGAAGCCCACTGTCTTGACGGGATAAGTCTATTTCCTGTTCAGGGACTGTGTGGATAGTGTGTTTGTGGTCTTAAAAAAAAACACAAAAAAACAAAAAAAAGAGGGTTTTGATTCCAGGGCCCCTACATTGATCCTGATGCTGACCCCCTTGGCGTCATGATCCATTTGCCTTCAGTAGAGGTTTCCTATGGAAAAACTGATTCTGCTTTGGCTTCCTCTTCAGGGTGATGTACAGTGTAGACACATTTCTCCAGAGAGCTATATTGTTATCATTTGTAAACTGATTTCTACTTGTGACTTAATGAGGAGGGGTTTAGCCTGGGGCGGCCAGGAAGAGCTCGTTTGAAAGATGTTGTTCCCGGCCGCCTTGGGGGAAGTTACTATATCACTGTACTGTATGGCAAGCCAATTACAAATGAAGACTCAATCCGGACACTTATTGCCTTCTTAAATAACTTCGCATACACACAAATAAAAACAATAACATGGCAGACAGGTCAGTCGCCAAGGGTTGTGCCTGAGGTTTATGACATTGTTCTGCCACTATACAGTCAACAACAACAACAACAACAACAACAACAACAAAACCATTCAGCCTGATAGGCTCAAAACAACCTTGATTGAAGTAGCAGACACGGTGAAATATATCTGAAAATGGCTTCAAAAGTTCAAACTACTTGTGCTCACTCGTATTCTTTGGGACAATGTTTGATGCATTTTTTCAGCTATATTTTTGCCCAGGTCTGGTAGGGGGTCAACAGTGGTTAAAGGGCCGCTGGTTGACGGCCGGCTGACAAGAGAAGAACGTGTGTTTTGTTGTCGATCACAAGGCTGGTTCAAGAGAGAGTCCTCACAGGTTTTTACATTTAACATGATAGGCGCAAGCTGTGCAACTTTACATTCAAACCAGGAGACTCTGTGGCATTTTAACAGTCAAGGAAATGAGTGAAAATCCACGCCAGTAAACCTATTCCTTTATTCTTTTTATTTCTGATGATTCTGATAAATCCTATTCAGTCAACTATTAAGCTAATAGAGTGTGTAACTTTGTGCTACTCTTGTCCAATAAAAGCTAAGTGGATCCATAAAGCTCTTCTTCAGCAAATCAGGGTAATATCGTTCTTCTATCTGACATATGTGATGACATATAAAATCAAAAGAAAATATATTTATGTATTCCAATTATTGTCGCCATTCTTTACTCTGTACAAAATATTGTGCGTGCGTGTGTGTGTGTTATGAATTATCAATGTCAATCAATATGGTGCAATGATCTCTACACAAACTGAAAAAAAAAGGCCAACAGACTTGTCACAAGAATTCACACAGGTTCTCTGCTTTCTCCAGATCCGTATTCAAACAAACACAAACATTTTCCTTTCACGAAGGATTTGACTCTGATTTCCAGCCGTAGTCCAACTGGGGTTTTGTCACGTGGTGCTGATTACTTTTCTATATCCGAGAACTAATCCAAGAATGAAAACTGGCATCTGTATTTAGATCCACTCTCAGACAACATTGTTCATCTGATTATTGTCCAATAACTTATCAGACAGAGACCCCCCTCCCCCCCCTCAATCATTTTTCACTGATCTGACTGTCAATTAATAGCATGATTTCCCTGTTGGACCAATCAGAAGAAGATTCACTCTGATTCTTGCTCTAAACAACAACAGATGGGTGATTTGTGTATTAATGACTTGTTTGATCGTTATCGTTAAGCGTACTGTTATTTCTTTTGTAAAAGCCAGACTCCTGGATTTGACACCACTACACAAAAATTATGGCGGATATTTATTCCGTTTGAGAGGTACAAAATATTCACCATAACTGCAAAATAATACACATATTCTGGTGCATTAGGATACTGCTGTTGTTGCCATGATAGAATAATTTGATGAAAATGCAACATGGTGGTATATATTCAATTTGCATATTCAACGATCTCCAGAGGAAATATTCGGTAACCCTTTGTTTTACAGTCTAATTTTTGAATAATTTCTAAGAGGTTTCTATGAGAGAACTGCACCATTTGGTACAAGGGAAAATAGGGAGGGTGTTAAATTGATATAGTTCCAGTTAATTAATTCGTTAGGCAGTGCAAAGCAGGTCAGCTGAACATGCCAAACATACTAAATTTGTCCACATGCAAACATAATTCAAATTTATCAACCAGTTGGTATTTCTATTTAAAAAAATAAAATAAAATGGTAATCTGCTCTACAGAGCGTTTTAGCACCTTTCAGCCCATTGTTTTGGTTTATTGGCAGCAACTTCACAGTTTTGCTTCTCTCTCTGCTCTCATCTGCGTTGTCTGTTTAGCAAACACAGTTAGCATCTAGCTGGTGAGCATAGTGTGAGTGTAGCAGCTAAAGAGCCAGATATTTCCCTCAGGAGTTGGTGGAGACCAAAAAAAAAGAGCTAAAAGAGAGTGAATATTTGACTTGCATTCATCATGTGGCCAGAAACACGACTCCAAATGAAAGATGTTTGCTAAGATGTTCAGCGTAACAAGTTTAATGAGGTGATAATATGTCAGTGTTGTGTTTACAGTGTGTTGAGGCTGTAATGGAGCAGTTCTTT